TAGATAGATAGATAGATAGATAGATAGATAGATAGATAGATAGATAGATAGATAGATAGATAGATAGATAGATAGATAGATAGATAGATAGATAGAGGTGGGTGGGTAGCAGACAGACAGACAGCAACTTATTTACATGATTTCAAGAAGCTTTTTTTTTAACCTGTGCATACACAGGATATTTATTCATGTTATACAGATTTTCATTTTGTAGAGAAAAAATGTTCTCAATATTGTCTGCTTTGGAGTACATATCTCTTTATTTTGACTGTATCAATTCAGTAGAGAAAGGAGAAAAAATAAAGATAAACAATTAAGAAAGATTTTTTTTAAAATAGAAGCCTATGTTAAATTACTGAGATTCCAGTGATCAGAAAGAGGCTATCAAGGATGAATAATGAACACACACACATACACAAAAACATGCATATATAATTTTACACACACACACACACACATATACATACATACATACATACATACATACATACATACATACATATATATATATACATACATACATACATACATACATACATACATACATACATACATACACATATATGCAGGTGTGTGAAATTGTAGAAAATACAGAACTGTAGGGATGCATAGATGTGCACACGTATCTGTATTTTCTCTCATCTCAGTGAAATTTGCAATGACATAGTATGTGAGGGTGTATGGTTAAAAATCTTGGATTAAAGTAGTAGATCATTCCTGTTTATGCACAGTGGCAAGAATGGTCATTTTGACATCCTTTCTGATCATCTCCAGGATAATCACAACAGAGTTTTCCCCATTAAGGTCGTTTGTACCTTCAAGTGTCTTTCAGTTGAGTAATATGTACTTGGTAATTTCCTACATACTTGATTCCAACGCTGACCTTTTCAACACTTTTCAGCTCAGGCTGGGGAAAAACAAAAAACTTAAACAAAACCGGTGAGATGGTTAGCAATTAATGAGTCCCAAAACCGATTTTAGAACACTATTTTAGAACACTTTTTTAAAAAAATAAGTTGATTTCAACATAACACACAATACAACCATTTTTAAACGATCATAGTATAGGCCATATATATGTCAAGAATATTTTTCAGATTGAATATTTGAGAATAAATCTTGTTCTTTTCTGCTTGCCTTAGACAGGAGTTAAGTAAAACTAACAATTTCAGAGGTTCAGGCTCTCCTCCCTGTTACAAGAGACATAACAATTGTTAGCCAGGCTACTTCAAATTGCAAAGTAGATTGTCAGATTTTTAGTTTGTCTGAATAGAAGAATTATTTTTATCTAGACCAGGGTTGTCAAACTCAGGGTGTCACACTGTCAACACATGACGTATCGTGACTTTTTCCCCTTCACTTAAACTGTGGGTGTGGCCAGCGCATGACGCATCCAGGCCGCGAGTTTAACACCCTTAATCTAGACGGTAGTACCAGGAAAATGAATATTTTAAGTGTCTTTTCCCATACTGCATAAAATATATGAGTTTATTAATGTTGGAGAATATTCAGATATATAACCCTCTCTATCTCAAGTACAAGTTCTGTTTTCATCATGTACCAACCCATTACACTTTCTTTGCAATAGCCTTATTAGTCTTAAAATCTTTATTTTATAAAGCGTGACAAATAAGATCCTCCTTATCAGCTTGCAATGCACTCTGCCTTTCTTCCTGGTCCTCTGCCTTCCATCTCTATGTTGCCACTGTCTCTCACATCTGCATAGCTAAGGTTGTTATGTACCCAGGTAGGTATGCTGTCACTCAATACATCTGGTTCCTAATCCGAATTTCTCCTCCTCTAGCCCAGGTGAAAAACAATCTAGTTTGGAAGCCCTGCTCTAAATGAACCGATTCTTAACTAAATACTGCATCTAATCTTCCTTGAGCGTACCATAATGTCACTAATTATGCTAAACAGGTAGTTAAGACTAGCACAGATCAATAGAACATAAGATTGGCATGGCACACAAATAGTTTCATTGGGATGATTGCCACCTCTAAACCCTATTAGTAATAAAAGTGTTGTAATATAGGGGGGGGGGGAAATGAGGCATTAAAATACAAAACCAAAGAACGAAGCTATTACATTGTATTCATGTAGCTGTTTTGCTTTTAATTATCCAGTTCAGGTTGTAATTGTGCCTCATGCTTCCTCCCAATACTAAGGTACACCTGAATGGGTTTTTTTTTTAATGAGTATATAATATATGGGAAATATTGGAGAGTTGCTTTATATAGCACAGACTGCGAGATTAAAAAAAGAAACTTTTTGGCAGAAACTCTTCAGACGAGAAATTTGTCAGCTCTGGTCAACAACTGAAAAGCTAGATGTGGCTAGGGAATTGAAATCTATTTCTTTGCCATTCTAACTAAACAAGCCAGCAGAAGATGCAGTAGTGGTTAAGAATACAAGGATGGCATGGCAAGTGAAAAGACAGATTTTATATGCCATTTATAAGGGAGAGTTGCCAATTTATTTTTAATATAACTGAATGGCCAAGTTCAGTGGAATATAGAAAACAAGTGGACAGATTTTTTTAAAAAGACAGAAAGAGAATACAGATTCAGGATAGATTAGGGTGATCTTACTAGCCTTTTGCTCATATATTTGGTTCCTACAAACTTAATAAACCCTATCTATACATCCTTCATGCCATATTTAATTTAACTCTTATAAGCAGTATTATCTTCAAAAATAGGCTGTTGCTTTATCTATAAGACTAAGTTATTCATTCTATAGCAAATATTTTTATAACACTAGATTCAGTATAAAAAGACTTGGCATTTGCATTTAATTATATACATTTTTATAATTAGGCTAATCAAATAAAAACTTAAACAGTGTTTCCATGGTTAATTCCCCCAGATTATGATACCATTTCCTGATTTCTGTATCACAAAAGACAAATATCCTTTTGTTGCATGGCCGATTAGCAATTGCCGATTGTTATATCTTGTACTTAATATATCTAGGCTGCAAAACTCTGAATGGCAGGTAGATAGCCACAGAGGCACAGGAAAAAGTCTTTGCTGCCATCTAGTGGTTCTGTGGATTAGTGTAGCTCAGCTATACCAACCTTATTCACAGTGAATCCCTTACTATTTAAATGCAAGATAAAGAATAAAAAGCAGACAATTCTACATAGCAATATCTATATCTATATCTATATCTATATCTATATCTATATCTATATCTATATCTATATCTATATCTAATCTATATCTATATCTATATCTATATCTATATCTATATCTATATCTATATCTAATCTATATCTATATCTAATCTATATCTATATCTAATCTATATCTCTATCTATCTATCTATCTATCTATCTATCTATCTATCTATCTATCTATCTATACACGGCAAAATGGGTTTATGGGAAAATTATCCTATCATAGTCACTAAGAAGTTGTACATTATTGAAATTCTGACTGTTAATAAAAATTAGAAAATATGATAAAGTAAGAAATAATTGAATGAATGTGATGAACAGCAATTATTGTAGCGAACTGTT